GACCAGATGGTATTCACTCAAGAATTGTGAAGGAACTCAAATGTAAAACTGTAGAACTGCAGTTTGTAACCTATCATTTAGATAAGCTTCTGTATATGACTAGAGGATAGTTAATGTGGCACCATTTTAAAAAAGATCTTAAAATGATCCTAGAAATTAGATTAGAAAGCCTAATTTCAATCCTGAGCAAACTGTTCTTTACCATAGTGTCAACAGAATTATCAGATAGCTAGAGGAACATGACTTCTTTGGCAAGAGCCAACATGGTTTTTGAAAAGGGCAATGATGCCTCACCAATAAAGCCCTACGTGGATTAGAAATGTAAAATCCTATTTAATTGGTTGACAGGTTAAACAATGTTTAATCAGTTAACCAATTAAAGAGAGAGCAGGTGCGGGAGTGTCCCTTTCCCCACCTGCCTGCCTAGGGTGAGCTCCAGGCTGGAGCAGCCCCCTATCTGTGGCAGGCCTTGAGGGACTGGACCTGCTTCCTGCTTGCAGCAGGCAAGAAGCTACTCCAGCCATTGCCAGTTAACTGGAATCAGTAAGTATCACCTGTTAAGGGTGATACTTAATGGCTAACCTTTCACATCCCTAATGCAAATATAAAATTTGTATCTAAATCCACAAAAATGAACCATAGATATGTACATCTATATCTGGTGAGTAGATATCTGCAATCTACTAGAATTTTTGATGGGGCCAGCAAGCATGTGGACAAGGGGATCCAGTGGATATAGTGTAGCCCTTTGTGATGGGGAATTAAGAGGGACTTGGAGGGGAATCTACAACGATATGATGCACAGGGATGGTGTTAGAAGGAAGAGCTTTAGCACGAATCAGACTTTCCAGGCTCTTTTTGCTTTACTTAACTAGTGAAAATAGTGTCAATTTTGCATTTTAATTAAAAAAGCCTTTGGATCTTTATTAATAATTAGGAGTGTTGGAACCATTTTTATAGAGGGGGTGCTGAGAGCCATTGAACCAAACTGTAAACAGTTTATATAATGGAATGCATTTCAAGCCAAATGGTGCAGAAGCACCCTAATTCCAGCACCTGTGGTGTTGATAAAAATCCTACATTTCTGACTTGACCTACATTTGTAAAGCTGCATTTGTTTGTGTGTGTGCACTGAATATGAAAGTTATAATATCAGCAAGGATAAACAGCCATTTCCTAATTCTTATGGCTTACTGGTTTTGCTCCCTATCACTGGGTCTAGATCTAGGGAATTCTTTGCAGACAGCCAGGAATGTGGGAGGAAGAAACCTACAGAATGATTTGGTGTACTTGTAGCGATTTGCTTGCTTTACCTACAAAACCAGTTACATTTATAGCACTTGCAGAGTTTCCAAATTAGAGACTCAACCAGTGCCAGGCAGAAGGATGGTCTTGCATATGGGACCCAAATTACTCCCCCTATATTTCTCCAAATTGCATTAGATAATATGTAGAAATATTGTTCTCTTAAAAAAACAACTTGTAGTCTTGTCCAGACCTGGTACAGCTTACAAAAGGAAACTGGAACTCTAGCCTAATGATTTGAACTGGAATCTTAATGTGAATACAAGTTTGAAATAATGCTGTCTTCATCTGCGCTTCGCTGTGCTGTAGCTTTGTTGGTGCATGTTTTCAGGTTATTTTGGTGACCTCAAAAGCAGCCTTTGCTCATTTTACAAGTTAGAGGTGGCTGACTATTTTACGGCTTACTGGTTTGATGGATCAGATAGGAATGTCTAGCAGCCAATGACCTGCTACAGACTATTTTTATGTTGTCTATCACTATATAACTGCTCTTGCATCTGCATAATCTCATGCATTTATAAAGTACCTGTGAGGTGTGTGTTGAGATTTTTTTTCACTGCCAATGTTACAATGCTAACTGTGAATCTGCTGTCTTTCCCATGTTATTTCAATTGCATTTAGTAATAGAAAGATTCTTCAACCAAGTGTAAAGGCATAAGTAAAGTGAGTATGTCATGGGAGAGGTAATTGAAAAGTTTTCCACCTTTGTTTCCAGTTCAAATCCATCTGTCTGTTCAGTGGAGTCAGTGGTCTCAGTTGACTGCCTCAGAGATAGATGCCTATATTACAAAACTCAGCACCATGATTTAAGTTTGCATAGGCTTCCCTGCAATACAGTAGGCTTTGTTCTGTGGTTGAGCTGCTGCCAAATTAGCTATACTTGAACTTCTCTAGATTAAAAAAAACCCATAATTTATACAATAGGTGCAACTGTATAAACTAAGGCAGTTTTTTTTTCCTGAGCATCAAGTCTGTTTGATGGATCACAAAAAACTATACTGTGAATTTCCCTTTCACAGGGAAGGTAGGGGAAGTTGCTAACCCTGTCAGAAAATGTAAATCTGGTCAGTCTGTGTTTGATGCTGAGAAAGCTGTGAAGTTACTAAATAATTGACTTTGATTCTTATCCGCTTCATTTTAACTACCCAATCTTCAGATACTCACTGATTCCCTTAACCCCCCTATTTTCTATATCCTCTGCTCCCTGTCTCCCACTGCCCTCTTTTTTTCCTCTCCCTTCTTCTCTCCTGTTTTGGAGTTTTGGGTCTGCACATCCTAAACTCAGAACTCCACATCATCTAAAGAAGTGGGCTGTGCCCATGAAAGCACACGATACCATCTACATGTTTTGTTAGCCTGACATCACTTTATAGACTATCAGACCATTTGTTGATTAAATCTTTTGTCACTCAGGTCTAATCACATACATATCTCATTTCCACTTGATCAAACACTTTATTTTAAAAAGGTGAATTTTAAGTATTCTTTTTTATTTTGAGAGCAAAAATATAATAAGGCTTCTGTCTGCCCCATTACTCTTTTCCAGTTCCCAGCCTTGAGTTCCCATAGACCTAATTAAAGGAGACTATTCTCCCACACAGTTCAATACACACTTTTGCTTATGTGGGTTTTAGAGGAGAGCCAGAGAAACTCATTTAAATTTGATTTTGGTTAACATAGCTTGATTTTGGTTAACATAGCTTATGTGAACCATTGTGGTTCAACCTTTCATAATGGTGGATGCCATAAGTAAGCTTTTAATCTAATTTTACATAAATGACTTTCTTCTTAAATACCTATATATTTCAAGCTGCAGAACACTTACCTTGCTACCACAGAGGTGGAGAAAATATGCAGGGAGGTTTTAACCAATTGTGGATATGCAGAGTGGTTTAAGGGACAAAAAAGCCTGGAGGGTAGGGAGCTCAGCTGCCAGGTGGAAAGGAAGGAAGAGGTACTTACATATCCATTTGCATAACTGCTAATGCTATTAGAAATGCAAGTTATCCAGTAGTTTCTCACCATATATTTGCCTCATTTCCCCCCCTTTTTTTTAACCCTCCCCTAACAAGATTTTAAAACACAGGAAGTCATCAGATGGTTTTGGTACATACTCTAAAATCTGGAAACTTAAAAAATTGTAAAGTTCATTTATGCTTATACTCAGATGAAGCTAGAGGGTATAAAATAGTGCTTGAGGATCTCATCATTGTTACTGATTTAGGGGCAACCCAGTCTGAGAGTAGCAGAGAGGAAAAGGAAAGTAACTTTTCTTAACCCTTCATACCACTTTACAGATGGGGTCTGAATTCTGACTTGTGAGATGCAATTAGGTAATGTACACTTAAATTCAGCAGTGCCTTTCCAATAATGGTCAGCTTTCTTAATAGAAAACTCCTCAAAAGCTGCAGCATTTTAAAATGGGAGAAGAGGAAATATTTGCATTATTGGGGATCAAATATTGCATGCACATAATATAAGTAGCTTCAGGGGGTAGCTGTTGGTCTTTGTTGTTCTTTTCTGTACAGACTATTTGTTTCATTAATATAGTGTGGAGGGGTATGGAGAGAGGGAATAAGGTGTGGGGGGGGGTTGCTGTGTTTTCTTGTTTCAAATATATCGCTGCCATCTGGGCACTTGTATGCGCAAAGCGTGTGAAGCTTCCGTGCTAATTCCAGAAGCTTTAGACCAAAAATAACTGCGTATTAGTGGGAAGAGATGGTGGTGATGGATTATGCTCTTTTAAACCCGCTTGTTTGGTTCCCTCATAAATGTAGGTCGAATAATAAATGACTCCACTAGTCACATGAAGCAGGCTCAAAAAACATGTTGCATCTCTGCCTCTGAAAAGCGTGTGAAGCTTCCGTGCTAATTCCAGAAGCTTTAGACCAAAAATAACTGCGTATTAGTGGGAAGAGATGGTGGTGATGGATTATGCTCTTTTAAACCCGCTTGTTTGGTTCCCTCATAAATGTAGGTCGAATAATAAATGACTCCACTAGTCACATGAAGCAGGCTCAAAAAACATGTTGCATCTCTGCCTCTGAAGCGAGCTCGCCCCCTTCCTCTGTGTGCAGCCCAGAGGTGAAAGGTCCGTGTCAGACCCGCGGTCGAGCACCGCTCGGGCTCGCAGCCCGCCTGCTGCTTGGTCACTTCCCTGGCTGAGCCGACATGCGCGGCGCGCGGCGCCGGGCTCTGCACAGCTGCGCTGCGCGCAAGGGACGGAGAGGAAGGGCCTGGGCTGGCTGCGGAGGGCTCGGGCTGGCTGCGGAGGAGGCGAGGCTGTTGTCAGGAGCGCGCGGGGAGGGTGGGGGCAGGAAGGGAAGGGCTGGCGGGCGCTGCAAGCCAGATGTAGCGCTCGCGCGCTCTCACGCGCCCCC